TAAACCATGTCAGAGAAGTTAACATGGAAGGATGGATGTGCGAAATACCGAGAACGACGCTTGCTAAGGAAGCGGAAGAGATAGAAGTAACGACTTGAAATCCTATAGCAAATCATATAGGTGAAAACGGACCGCACCTGGAGGTGTTGGGAGAGGCGTACAAAGTCTAAGGAGACCTTTTCGGTGTTTTCCATATCGGCCTGCAGCTGAGATACGCGATTTCGCAGTTTAACTTCCTCTTCACGAGAGCGTTGTAGCGCCTTGTCCTTCTCCACCAACAGCGCCTACAGAAGAGGAGGAGAAAGAGGAAGGAGTATGGAAGTAATGAGGTCATAAGCTAGTAGATTCACCATGAAATTACTTGCAAAACATTATTATTAGAAAGAAAAGACGGTAGGTTTCGTATTTTTTGTTTACGTTTAGTATAAAACAGATTAATTGCATGCCCAGAAGTAAAGGAATACCCGACAGTAATGCCAAGGAGAAAATGTTCTAGGAAACACTCAGAGGAACTGGAAATCCCATAAATAAGCTGTAAGAATACCCTCACCTAACTAAAGCAAATCGAATGACAACCGATATTTTAGTGGATATGGAATCAGAAATTGGATTGAATTGACACCAAACAAGTGGACCTCTTCTAGTTTGAGAAGACCACATACCCAAAATATCATAAAACTTTATGCACTGAACCTGGGGTTCCTTGGGTAGCAGTCGGCTAGTTTCCACATAGAGGTGATTTTAAATCCCTTTCTGCCTCAAAGTTGGTGATAAATACCCCCGGCAGAAAACATAAGAAACACTGGAAGAGTGAAAGTTCTAATCATGACGAAATCTCCCTTCCATTATCCATCTGCCCCGGCAGATTGACACACGATTGCCGGGAATATGCCTGCCGTGGAACAGCGCAGCAAACGATAAAGAAGAATTGGTAATGAGATGGGACGCACCAGTCACAGTGAGGATGTGACCCAAAGAAAACGATCCAGTACAGCCATCTTTATCCTTGCAACAATCTGTCGTTGGCCATTGCTGATGCTGGTACTGCAATAATACACAGCAATTTGCACCGAAATTGGTCTACTTTCCAGTCTAATTAATTTGTGCGCACCCACAGTTTCTCAGCTCCTCCATCAGTACCAACGCAGTGAATCAGTCTTTTGAGATGGAGAAGTGAATGAAGCATTTAATAAGGTCTCGGCTACAACGGATTGCAGCCATCTAATCACCGCTGGTAATGCTGTACTACATTACGTGACGCTACTATTGCTCGAAGTACTGCACGTTAATTGCTATGGCTTCTCAGCATGCTTTTAACCTTGCCCACACCTGTGCCAAGAGAAGGAGTGCTTTTTTCGCAACGATGTGAGTGAAGGCTCAACAAAATGCCATTACTGAATTAGGGAATTATCTATTACGAATGAGAAGGATAACAAAATAAATCAAGGAGGTTCAGCACAGGCGCAAAGCACGTGGGGCTGAAAAGCCATCAATGATTGAGTGTCATAAAA